CTTCTTCTCTTCATCTGCATTATCTGTTGGTGCTCAACATAGCACTGAATGATTGTGACTTTCCTTCCTCTTGAGGTGAACGTTGCTGTCATGATGCTGATCGTGGAGGAGGAGATTGGTTCTCACTGTGTGAAAGCCTTCGATGCTCGTGAAGGGGACATCATGGTAGCCACTCCAAAACTGGGTGTGCTTGTGGTTGTCATCTGGGTGACAGTCTCGGAGAAGATTATAGACCCCTCTCCAGTTGACATTTTGGAGAGTCCATTCCCATTCCATCCACAGATTCCTCAAAGATTCCTAGCACTTCAGCACTACACCTTCTCATCTCTCATGCAATCTGGGCAGCCTTGACAGCTTCAAACATTTTTCGGACATTCCATGTCCCCATGTTAACTTTCGCTTTCATGGAGAGAAGACACATCAACCAATTGGCTTCCAGAAGACTTTCACCAACCGGCTTCGTTTCGTCTCTCCGATTCCAGTGAGGAATTGGTTTGTTTTTATGTTTTATATTTTGTCTGTGCTTTGAAGTTTCTGTAGTGGTTGTATTAGTTTTCCGGGGTAGGGTTTCTAGCCTTATATCCAACCTTCCCTCTTTATCCGGGCTTAGGACCGGCTAGTAACTAGTGAACTAGTTAACCAGGCGTGGTTATGCCTTTAGATAGCTATCTTTATATGCTGAAGCTACTTTATTTGTGATTAGAAGGCCTAAGCGTTGAGGTAAATCAATTTCGGACTATCTAGCCTCACGTAAGTGAGGTGATCATGGTACATCCTACTAACTAGTGGTGGAGTCATAGTAGTGAGATGTAGTAACTTTCAGGATAATCACATTTGGGTATCACATCAATATATGAAGCTGATGACCTGACTAACCCTTTGTTGAAAAATAATGGATTTGTTGTAGATACTCTTCATAATAGAGAAACCAATATCTGTAAACAGTGCAGCTTTGGTCATTACCGATGGTATCGATGCCATCGTGACTTATGCTTTATTTTGAATTAACTTTACAAAACCCTTCTTATGAGTAGCCTGATTTTTGGCTTTTTCTAAGAATATGTGTATTTCATAACTAAAGTTCATGATATTCTAAGTTCTAACAATACTACTCGGTGAAGTGTTATCGACTGGTCTATTACACTCAATTAAGCAATAGTATTTAGCCGTTAGTCCAACAACTTGTTTCAGTCAGGTGACTTCAGGATGTTTCACAAGGATAAAATTCAGTATGCGAATTCTTCAACTTTTGGTGTGTCCGTAAAGCCAAATGTAATTATATTAGATGCTTTGCTAATCTCAGCTTTTTGGGTTAGTAGAAGTGTGATCGTTTTGTTGGATACTTTTATCTAAGGGCTACATTTTATCTAATATAACTTCGTTATATGTATGGACACCTGAACAGTAACCTTCAAATTCTACTCTTGATAAAAGGCCAATTTTTTGGAAAATAAAAAGGTAGTGATATCATAAGAACATTGCAACGTTAAACTGTGTACAAAATATAGCAGTTTGCATGTGTTTACAAAGGCTTTAGGAATTTTGGGCCCCTCTAGAAGGAAGCTTCGTATTGGTTTCACCTCTTCAACCGATCTAACATTTATATATATGATTATGTGCCTTTTCTCAAAACTTCTAAGCAAGGCTTTAGGGATCTAAAGCTTCTTAAAAGGATCTGAACAGTCTTACGGCTCAGAATAACAGTATCGTATTTAAACTGATGACCTGCTTAAAGTTTGGGTTACCAAAATGTTTCCACGGAATTTATTACACCAAATTCATCCATTTCAATTTGTTTTCATCTTCCAGAATGTCTTTTAAACGCATCAAATTCTCTTGTGTACTTTTAAGGTTGTCTCATATTGCCGTTTTTAAAGGTAACAGTAAAACGAATAAAAAACATTGCGCCGGTAAGAGATGGGCTTATAAATGCACAGAAATACAGTATACTGCCGTTCCTTGGATAACTATATCTAATTGGAGATTTTAGCACTGGCTGAACAAATTACTATCATCAAAATTATACTTGATATTCTACTCACTCACCAGTTCAGACCAGATACTAATGTAATACCGAGTACCTGTTCCATATCGTCCCTTTCATTGTTGTTAATATTAACATTATTCGAATGTTATGGTTATTTTGCTTATAAATATTGTACAGAGAATGAATTTGTTGAAATATTACATGTTGAGAATTGTTTTCCTTACCTCAAATTTTGTTTGGAACAAAGCAACTACTATTATTAAACATCTAAACCTTTGCATAGACCTCATTAAATGTGTTGCGAAATTCTTATGAAATTATCTTTAAATCATTAATATATCACATTTAGAATGATCTTGGAATCATGCTGGGGGAATTAATCAGTTATTTCTGTTTTTTAATAAATAAATGACTGATGATACAAAATCCTATGAATCTTCAATCAACTAATTTCACAGACAGATGATAACTGCTAACCTTGAAGTAGTTCATAAAGCGATGAAATATTGGAATCAAACATGCCATTATATTCAAAAACAATTCTTTTTGTCTTTGAGATGAATGGGGATTTTTAATTAAGAAGTAGTATTCATCATTGACTGACATCAGTTGGGTGCGTACTGCTAAGGAGTCCCATACTGATTGGGTGAAACAGCTGTCCAGTGCTCCCAGATTTCTAATGGTCTCCCAACTGATGTCAGTCCATGATAAATACTACTTATAAATTCTTTTTATCCTTAGAAGTTATGTAGAAAGGCGGTTAAAACAGAAGCGCTCCCTTAGATGATAATAGTTGTATAGTGATAACGTAACATAAAAAATTGTGCAGAAGAAGCTATTTTTTCACCCATGTTTCATCCAGTTCTTTCAAAGCAACGCTGTACATTTAACACGTATAAGACAAAAACTCAATCTATAAGATATAAAGTCCAAAAAAAGTAGTTTAAATCCTAATCTAACTCCAAAATCAATATATTTCAGCAGAAAATTAAAGTTTTATAAATCGGTAAGAATAAAATAATCTATTCTCCATAAATGATATTGAACTTTTTTCCCTGACTTTCTAAACTGTCTGAAAATGTAATATGAGAAAATTGAAGTAGTACACTCAGAGAACTTAATCAACAATTGCAGAAGAAAATATTTACCGCATTCATTCTTCATTTATTGCAACGTTATGAGTTCTTGACAAAAGAAAAAATCCTTTGAAGGTGAAAAAAGAAGTAGATAATGTGTTTTTGACTAGCTTCTATTCGATTTCAGCCCTAACAAAATGCATATGTTTTTATCTCCAAGTAACTGAAACATATCCTAGAAAAATTCGCTGCCAATATTTATCAACGAAATTATTTATTATCTTTTCAAAGTTATTGTAATTAGTTCCCATTTCTCTCAAATACAAGTTATTCATTTCACAACCCAAATTAATAACTTCATTATACCTTGTGCACTGGTTTACTGAAAAATATGAGTATAGTACTGGTCTTCTGTATGTAGCCAGCATACAATACAGTACACAAAAGCCCACTGGAATGTCATTGTTAAACCAGATGCCATATGCTCATTTCATACAACTGCGCACTTCCTAGTGAGTTCCTTCATTCCCTACTGGTAGAGAAATTCAACCGATATTGGAAAAACATTCATTTCTTGATAAATTAGGTTGGAATAAGATAGTTTTTTGATAATGTTCATGTAATATGTGAAAGATGCACAGTGATACATGATAAATTGAATGGATAAATTATTTATTGATAAATATAATGAAAACATTAAACAGTTAATGAAATGAAACTATTTGTTAGTAGGCAACTGGAAAGTTATTCATCAACTTTTTTAACTGTCTCATAGCTGAGCACTAGAAAGAGTCTGTATCAAGTAGGAAGTTTGAATTTGTTTTGTCTAAGAAGTTCTGGTGTCCACAGAAACTCTAATCTTTAAAACTGGGGACTTACCTTTAAACCATCTTTAACTCGCCTAATATCACGCAAATAATGTGTCTTATAATTAATTATATTGTTTGCTTACTAATACGTTTCAGGACAATCTGTCGACGAGTTGTCTCTTGGCTGCTTTGATAACTGTATCGAACAGGTAAGAATAGGTTCACCTGATAAACAATCTATAACTATTTTCATTATGTGAATATAAAGCATTGATTGAGCTTGTATTTACGTCTTTGTTTCAATACACTTCTTTAAAAAAACTGAGTATGCAGACATTTATTCAGCTGATTTCATAAAGTATCTGTTACTGTTGAGTTTTTTGAATCATATAACTTTAGAGTCCTATCACCACACAGTGTTTCAGCTACTAAGCCTCAATCAGTATATGAAAGGGTTTATATGAAAGGTATTAGCTCAATGATGTGCATGTTAAGTTGAGAAAACCGGGGTTGACTGGCTGTTTCTAATTTTGTTTGTTGATGCAAATATCACTTTACATTTCATCAAACAATCAGAAAGGATTTTCCTATACCAGTCAGTGTAGCTTACAATAGAGTTGAGAATATCAAATTAATTCCCTAAAAAGGCTTTTTCATTCTTCGAGTCTGATGCGTTTCATTCAGGCTATATCAGGTAACTGACCTTACATTATCATTCGCATGTTATGAATGGATTAAATCACATTTTTTCTCATTTTTATACTAACCACTTTCTCCACTCACTTGCTACCATGCATTCATACTTGTATCAAAATATTTGATATATAAGTTGATTAACAACTGGTAAGGAAATCCCCTTTATCTCTCTCTTTATATGGAATAATGATTTCTCTTTTTGTCTCTGCCTCAGTAAGTAAACAATCCAACTCAGGAAAATGCAATGAAGATTATTTTCAAATACTAAGAACAACCAGACAATTTCAGCAAACATAGACAAGACCATTAAATGTAAACAGTTGAATATATGTGTCATATTAGAAGTATTATTCAAAACATCTATGATAACCATGATTTATAACAAGAATTCAATGTTCACTAGTAAAAATAAATACGCGCTACGATATAAGAGTTTATAGACAAGTTTTGACATACGGATAAATTAACCTAATAGAGATGAACAGTTAATACGACTAAACGGAACGAGAGGCGACTAGAGAATAACTATATAAACACATTTAACATATATGATATTATGACTAGTATTGAAGTGAGGTGAGGTTCCCTGTAAATTACAGTGACAAAATGAAATTGACCGTGTTGCTATTTCTACTATGTTGTACCCTGGTGCATATTATCTTTATCAGGTTAGTGAAAGTATTGATAGACTAAGATATCTGATTCTGTCAAGTTGAATAAAAGGGAAACTTTTTCATAGTTGAGATACTCACCTCAATGATGCCCAACTTAATAATTTATGTATGTAACAAATATAAATTCTTGTACAGTTAGGATACAGTAATTAAATTATGTCATTTGAAGGCAACTATTAGTAAGAAAATGTGATTAAAGTGAAACGTAACAATGAATACAAGAAGTGCTTCCCTAAAATAAGCTTAACACCTTTTTTAAAATATACTCCGCTTATTTATTCTTGCTTAAAATGTACCAGATGAGTTAATTCATTCTTCTGTTGCATCGGTGAATGCATAATGCAGAAGTTAAGTACACTTGTAGTAAATGTCTTATTCATTTGGTACTGTTCACCATTTTAGGAAATTGTTAAATTTTCAGTTAATAATAACAATAGTAATAGCTTTATTCTAAACAAGACATTTTTGGTATAGCATGGAATTCTCAGCATGTAATTTCTAACAAATTAATTCCATGTACAGTATCTGTAGGCAAAATAATCATGGCATCTGAATGATGTCAATAATAACAGTAATAAAAGCCACAGTGTGAAACAGGCATCTGGTTTGAACTGGTCAATGAATAGAGTATCGAGTGTAATTTTTCTTGTTGGTGGTGGTTGTAGTTTATTTATCCAGTACTAGTTTATTAGTATATCACAATTTGTTTTATAAAAATATTATTGAAAAAGACTTTTTTGCCAATTGAGTATACGGTAATTGGTAGGTGAATGAATAACTGAACTGAAGAATGGAATTTGTTTGTTTTTTTCAGAATCCAGCTCAGTTTGTATCATGGTTAATTCCATTACTCTATTTATATGCAATGTAATCTGTACATAAAGTTTTTAGGCTATTTATTTAGTTAAATGGACAACGTACACTTATTGCTGTAAGACAATATAAACCTCATACTGTTGTATTATGGGTTAATGGGAATTGAGGGAAAAGCTTCATCTCTAAACCAAGTAAACTAAATTTATATTACTATGTAGTGTCTACGAACAAACAGATAAAGAATGAAGTCAGTTAGATAAATACGCTTTCAAGTAATCGGATACTTCCGAAATATTAGTATAAATAATCATGGAAATGAACATGATTCCACAAGATATAAACTTAAGTTTAAATCCTATCTGATGATCATTGTAAACCCAAATTAAACAAAAACATATACTGATCCATAGGTTTTTATTAAAACTAAGCGAGTTATATTCACTAATTCAATTAATATTTTCTTTAACAATAATTTTTAGAGCTGGGACAATAGAAAAGGCAGTTCATGATGTTACTGATGAGGATGATGAGGATGATGAATATGGTTTTGGAAAAGATAGTGGATCGGTAATTACAATCATTTTAAAAACTCATCTTCTCACAGAAAAAAATACTTGGTGTATTATGGGAATCATGTATGAGGGGACGAAGACATGTCTATAAGGTTATTGATAAATACTTGAAGAAGGAAGATTTAGACAAGAAGTTGCTGGAAGTTGCTAAAATCAGTAAGTCATTTTCATGTTGATCAAAACATTCTGATTTGATTTGTTCTTTCAGTAGGTAAACGGTTTGAGAAGCGTATGGAATACGTTGCCAAGCATCTTGATGAAGTGTTCAATTACGAAACATCTGAGTCTATAAAGACATGAGTATCATTGATGTTGTTTGAATCAGTTAATAAACGTAAAGCATAGTTAGTTGACTGAGCGTCTTTTATTTTATTTTTTATCATTACAGGTCTGTTAACCAACCTATTCTATGTGTGCATTATTTCATGCTAATATACATGCTTAGTCGATAATTGATACATTAATGGTTTAGAAGATTTTACAGTACGATTCATCGATCTCTTTTGATCTCTAAGTACTTAAGGTTTGTTGATTAGAAGCACAATCATCTTTGAGAAAGAAATCTAAGTGATGTTTATCGAATCACGATCTGTGATTTCTAGACTTTGATCTTTGATGCCAACCACTTAGAAGTATTCTTATCTTATTTTGAATACGAATTCGGTAAGCTATCTGTCAATTGCATCGAAACTTTAAGGAGCTTCAGTCATACGAAATGGGTCATTAACAAATATCTAAGTTTTTTTTAAATGCGAATGCTGAAATTATACGCCTGTTACTCAGAACGTACATTTCAGGAAGGGAGTAAAATAATTATCAAACTAGCGATAGTTATAAGAATACACTGGTCACTGAAACAGTCGTCATGTAAATCCACCTTATCTAGAATAACACTGGTAAAATGGAGTCATAAATAGAAGATAGAATGAAAACAAAGTTGAGACTTCATAAAAAGAAGTCTTATGAACTCTAGTATGTAGTACGCATAGATTCGTAGCCGACGTTTGCATACAGTGAAACATGAGTGGATCTTCAAAGTAAAGAGATCAATAGTAAGGTCAAAAGGGTGTAACAGTCTATTTGTCAGTTGATATTGACTAGGCATGAGTTGGTCTAATATCAAGTTACAGTTGGAGACTTTGTTAGGTGGCCAGACTACAACATGGCATCAATGTATGAAGTCACTGACTGTTGGTTTAAGCCATGTAGGTTGGGGTCCGCGGGACAAGAGGAACCAGTGGTTGGAGACCCTAGGTGATATGGCTCAGAACCGATGTCAGTGGCGCAGATGTGTATACATACATTATCCTCATCTTAACAACACTATACCGAATCTCACCATTTTGTCACTCCTCTTTCCTTTCTTCTCGTACTTTATATTTCTTTTGACTGCATTCACTTATCTTCATCCTTCACCTCACTACCTTTTTACTTGATGTGCTGATATGAGGTGTGGCAACTCGGACCGTTACGTAGTAATGCCTGGTCCTATGTTGATAATGATGATGATGATGATGATGGTGATAGAGACTTTGTTGAATATCTAACAAACTGATTTTATTAGTTCGCCATTTTTAACGCTTATACTGTAAAGTTATGACTTATTCAAATAACTCCACTTCGGCCCAGTTTATTTTAATCCAGAGTCAGGCTGTCATAAACTATGTGGCTCATCCATTCACCGTTACTCTGTTTACTTAAACCTATTTAAGAGCTGCTAGTTTATCTGGAATTCTGAAGATAGATGTTTGAAAACTGAATTGTTTGAAAGGAAACTAAGTTATGTTGTTTTCTTGTTAGTGTTTCGTGAATTATGATATTTATTTATTAGTCCCTTGGGTTCCTGGTAGAACATAGGGCTTCAGTAGCATGTCACCATTTCACTCTCCTCTGCAGTCTGACTCCACCTGGCTTCACCACTGCCCACATGCTTCCATTTCTTCCTCATACCATCTCATCCAAGTCACTCTCAGACGCTTAACTCGTCGTTTCCCTTTTGGATTCTACTCGATGGCTTGGCCTGGCGCGTGTTGCCCCCAGTTGGCCTTCTCAGTGTATGTCCAATCCAGTCCACCTCCGCCCTCTTCTCCATATTTGTTGGGCGATGGGTTCTTGGTTGGTTCTTTGCCAGCCAGACAGAGTTCCTTGTTGCTTATTCTTATTATCCTGGCCATCTGATCTCCATCTTCAGCGCCAGTATCTAGTGAGCGTAGGCGGCAGCTGTTATGTATACCTACAGTTTCGGAAATGCTTTTCGTAACGCGCCAAGTCTCTCAACTATCACATAGAAGCACTGACTTGCTTGACTGATATTAGTGTTTAAAATCCGGGTGTTTTTCACGTTTTATGTTAAGTGGAGTGCAGTAGATCTCCACAATGATTTCAGATTATTGAAAGCCCAGTTTGCTTTTCCGACCCTGGCTTTGACGTTTTCATCTGTACCTGTGCCGCCTGTAATTGAAACGACACTACCTAGGCAGGTAGGTGAAAGAGACAACTTCCATCAGATTTCCTTAATTGATGGTGGCTGGTGCTTGTTGTTGCTGGCTTGTATCTTCATCACCTCCATCTTCTCTACGTTCACCTGAAGTCCCGTCTTTGCTGCCATTCTCCTCTACCAACTTGTTAGTTTTCGCCTGTTGATCTACGAGTTTGTGCGACATCAGACGATCACTCGAAATCCAAATCTTCTTCTGGAGTCTTTTCATCGGTCAAGAAACCATCTTCTCACAGCTCCTCAGGGTTGTCTGTTGCATTATCCAGTCCAGTCGACCATAATCAGAAATATGATTGGTGATAGTAGGCTGCTCCTTCTTGTCTTCACTTCAAAGGCATCACTGAGCTGAGCTTTCCACTGTGAGTCACTCGGCATGCAGCCTCATCATATAGCATATAGATGCTGTTGAATGAGGTTGATAAAGATTGTGTAGCAATAAAACCGTAGTGTTGAAGCAGCAGCTGCTAAATTACTTCTGCATCGACGCTGTCGAAGGCCTTTTCAAAGCTGATGAATTTGAGGTATGGTAGAGAGTTGACTGCTATTCCATACTCTGTTCTATGATGATGCATAGCGCGTCGTCGCAGTCTGATCCGCACATGATTTCTTTCCCCTGAAGCCAGCCAGCCTGTCCCGGTCGAAATTTTGAATCCAATGGAGTGTTTGGTCTCTCCAGGATGGTGTGGCTTAATATTTTGCTTGTTTTATGTGGGCAGCAGCATGATTCCGTACCAGTTCTTGAAAAGACTTAGGTCTCCCATCCTTGGCAGTTTGATATAAGTCTCCCTCCATAAATGAAGCAGAGGGATTTATAAAATGAAACACTTATCTGAAGAATGGGACACTGAATTTCAGGCTGAGCACACACATCTTCCTCAGTATATTTGCATCTTACAGAAGAAGGATCGATAAATAGTATGCTACCTATTATGAAAGCTATCAACGGATTCCTTTCAAAGACCTAGTTTTAAGTACAGAACAGGTTTATAAGGTTTACATATCCTATTCAGTAGAGTTGAATCAAAACTGATGACCCTTAAGTCTCGTTGTTCATCAACTAACTACCATTCAATGTTATTTAGATAAGTGTTGATTACTTCCAAAACTTGAAAGGTAGAAATTTGTGTTGCTTCTATTCCTTGTGTAAAATCTCATGTTGCAGCCAGCTTGCATCTCAGTTAGAATTAAAAATCTTTCATCTCACGTAATCAGATTGGTGAAATTGAATATATACATTTGTTAAGATGCCTTCATCAACTCTACAGCAAGAGAACTTGGATCAGATATTTAATACCTAGATAGCCCAAACAAATTAACTTGGCCCATAGTTAAGTTACAGTATATTAATCTGCAAAAAGTGTTATATTGGCGTGATTTATGCGCATTTTAATCCGAAAAGCCGGGAGGAGGACTTTCATGCTGCTATCACTGTCTAACCCCCCCCCCCCCCAAAAAAAAATTAATACAAATCAAAGGGGGTTTTTTAAGATAAGAAAATTTTCTAATAATTCCAGCACTTAAGTTAGTTGAAAGATCTTGTGTCCAAATTTATTACTTTTACCATTCTGTTTACAGGACGGCTGATGTCACCTACCTGGCAATATGCGTGTAGGGATAAACTTTATTGACTACGGTGTTCCAGTGCTTCGAACTGCTTTTCGTAAGGTAGGCTGGTTGACTTATCAGACTTCCACAGAGATATATAGTAGAAGATTTAAACCTTCAGTAAAGCCACATAACTTCTGCGTACTCTCAGACATGTTAGGTAAAAGGAAAAATGTAATTTCAGCTTACAGTACAGAAGTGTAAAAGGTTTCCTATCGTCCGACTCAACATCATCTGTAACTGTAGACGACACATGAATACATGTACGATTATTTGCATTCTCAGATCCTGACTGATAAAATTCACCAGAAAGTTGTTCAATGTAAACTTTCTGTGTACTTTCACGAAGTAAGAGTAATTATTTAAAAACCTGAGAATAACTTTCAGATAGATGTAATACTGAAGATAGTTTTGAGAAATTATAGGCTATCAGTCATTGGAAAGGTAGCTCCTAGCACCTTATGATTACACTGGACTGAACTAGTTAACTTTGAATGAAAAACAATGATGGAAAGACATACTCCCTTATTTCACTGAATTTCACACATTTTATCTGATTAGAAGAACAGAGTGAGGTACATTTTTCGATATTGATGATTGCACGATTTATATTAAACAAGCAGTTGATTTTTGACCACTTCTTCACTTGAAAGCCAAAACAGTAATAACTCTGATTATGACGATATTACTTTGGAAATAACTCACATTTTTCAGCGCTTCAGTTACACATGCTACCTAGTTACCTAAAAACGGAAAGAATAATTGTCGTCAAAGTTGTAGTAACGTGCAGGTCATGACTTTAAACAATCAATAAAATTGATCCCATAACTTCGAAGAAATCACCGTGATTCATTTAGAAATGAAATGATGATGGAAACACTTTGTCTGAAGAAGAGGCGAGATCGTGAAACTGAACCAGGGAATTTGTCAGTCCCCAAAGTTTAGCAGTGTGGCATTGTTAAATACTTCATGACCAATTAGAATAAAAGTAAAAGAGATTGTAATTTTGTGTGTTTAAATGACAGTTTTACAACAATAAACGCCGAGGGCAATCAGGATATGCTGATGTAAAGCTAGAAAAATATAGAACGAATAAGGCTTGCCTTTTTTAAGGTTATTGGATACCCTCTTGCTGATTATCTGAAATATATTGGTTTCTGTTAAGATGATGTATGTCTTAGGTGTAAAAACATGCTAAGCTAAAAAACGAAACATTAGTAATCACTTGTCATTTTGCTAAGCGTTTCAATCAATCTCAATGAGCCAATGACATAAAAGTTAACACAACAGTAGGCATTTTTAAGTGGATGCACGGCAACGTTATCACTAACATGGTGGTTGGGAAACGTTAATAAAATAGTTATCTATGCTAAATTTTAACTGTGCATTACGTGGGTGACTTTAAAGGCTACCCTAACTGCTGAAAGGACCAATCAGGATTCGATATTTCGCTTGGGAAAGTACTCTCATGTCAAATAAAGGAATGTAGCCGGTAGTGTTGTCAGTTGATAGGGTAGACTTTAAAGTCACCAGCACCATACAGATATTCTTCGAAATAAATACCATTTTCTTTGCCTAGATCAGATTTATCTAATTGTTTTTAAGATGTTAAAAGTATCTATTGCATACAATTCAGATACACAAGGAATCAATACTCACGTAGGATTCTTGTGGTGTATTTCTCTCTAATCAACATTTTAAAGCGTTTTCAGCTTTCAGTCATTTGTCGTCTCTGTATGCCTGAAGCTGGTTGCAATGATTTAAGATCAGTGTTCAAGATTAGTGTTTCGGTGATGACTCCAGGAGCCATTATTATTATTACTATAGATTGGCCTGCTTGAACCTTGGGTTACCGAAAAATTTTTACCTAATTTATTTCATCAAATTCTTCCCTTTCAATTTGTTTTCATCTTTTAATATGTGTTTTAGATACATTAAATTCTCCTGTGCAGTTTTAAAATTGTTTCAAACTACTGTTTTCCAAGCTGACAACAAAACAAAGAAAAAAACATTACACCAGTAAGAGATGCATTTTTAAGTGTACAGAAATACAACACATTACAGTTCCTTGGATAACTATGTCGAATTGAGAATTTCGATACTGACTGAATAAACTACCAACACCAACATTACGCTCGATTTTCTATTTTTTCACCACTCCAAACCAGACACTAATGCAATATCAGATGCCTGTTATACACTGTAGCTTTTATTACTGTTATTATTAACATTATTCGAATCCAATACTTATTTCATTAAAAGATATTGTATATGGAATGAATTTTTTTACTACTACATGCTGAAGATTCCATACTGTATCATAATTGTTGTTGGAACAAAGCATCTATTATTATCTTTGTTATCATACTGGTTGACTACTAGGTTGTCAGTGGTTTGAATCCGGCCGCAGTCCAAATTTTCATCTCACCTTTAATCATCACCCAGTATAAATACTAGTCTGCTAAACTACGACTATCTCAGATAGTCTAATAATAATTCATGATTCATCTAGATTTTGTTTATTTGTAGTAAAATATTTCCTGCATTATAAAATACCGTGAAATGATTGATAATCAGTGAAATTATATAAAGAATCTAGTATTACTTACTAATACCATAATAATAGATCTCATTGGGTCAATGAAAACTAAGATTTGTTTATTTGATTGATAACACACACCTCTACCAATACTATGCTCCTAATTTGCTTACTTTAGCTAGCATACTTCAGTTCACATTTGTATAGAACTTTTATTTGGAAACGTGGTATTTAAGCTACCTTTGTGTGAAACACGGTTATGATACTTCGATATTAAGATGTTAGAATTCAACGCTAGCTTGCAGAATACACTGAAATTAGGTTTCGTGACTGTAGGCAGCAGTCAGCACGATGCATCTCAAAGAATGAGGAAGCTAATATTCTTTTGATAACTCAAACTCACATCATTCAGTGTCGGAGTCTGAAACTTTAACAGATTCAGTATGCAATTAGAGTTTTCTAGTGCATTTTAGCTACAAGTACACTTACATATTCCCTCAACTGATTATCTTAGTATATAGACTTAAAGTTTCATTTTTCAAATAAAACTTATATTGAAACCGTTTTTCTTGTTGGTAGATGTATATTCCAGCTTATGAAGAAATCAAACCGGAAAAACCCTATACATTGATTAACTTTCGTATACTGAAACATCTGAGTACGGGAGCTTCAAGCGACATGAGTAAATCAGTTTCTAAGAGGACCAAGTTTGTTTGCATTCTGTTTCATCACAGTTGTCAATTCTGTAAAGTAAACTTGGTCATTGCCTTACTTATGTATACAGGTGTTAAACAGCTGTTAATTTAAAAAGCCTAACTCTCAGGTTGGTCAAGGAAAACAGCTTTAAATGTTAAAAAGAACTCTTTACCAAGTTATTTTCTCCTAATTTCTATGTTTAGCGTGACGTAAAAAGTATAAATATGAAGGCAGTTCAATCACTTTTCACACCTCTTAGTTATCTGCTTCGATGCAAAAATAGTTTAGTCTTGTAGTCAATTGTTCGTCGTTATTGAATAGACAGAACTGAACGACCACTACTGACTTGTAGGCTCCTGTACTGATATTACCGGAAATTCCATTTTGATAACAATACCCACACATCTACACTTGAGTCCAATAAATGGACGATCAATTAAGCCCAATCATAGATCGGAAACTACAAGCTATATCACTGAAGTACGCCTATCTCATAAATACCAAATTCACAACCCAGTATCCTGATGGATAACACTTTGACGTTTAAAGTGGTGAGTGAGAATAGTATCACTCACTGAGAGACAACTATATTCAGCTGATGATTCATAAGCTGAACAAACTACGGGTTCTGGATCACACTTACCTCCACTATTGTTAGTTTGCCTGAAGTTGTTGCTATTTTAAGTTTTATGTGGTGAAGATAAAAGACTTTATGATGAAGACCATGTAGAACATATAACTTTGCTGCCAGAAGTCAACTTGTTATATTATTTATACTATCGGACTAAATTAGGTAACTAGTCCATTAGAGCAATCGTTCATTGTTTAAATGGTATTTACTTGTAATGAATAGTAACTTTGATCTGTACATTATGCATCGATAAACTTCATTAGCTGTAAATTGACTGCACGTTCACATCTCAACAGGTAATTGTTCTCAAAAGTTAGAAGGAATTGCTGAAGTCACTAAATATCAAAAAATCAAATGTATATATTTTTTTATTAAGTTAAGTAGATATTCTACAAACTGACGACCCAATTGTAAGTTCTTTTATGAATGGATGTTAATAAACTGAAAGAATATTGAGATTTTGTATATCTAAGATGTCTCATATTTCATAACTTCTTCAAGTTTTTTGCAAAATATTCCATACGTTTCTCAACACGTTTACCAACTAATAAATAGGATTATTAGACAAAAATTTGTGAATATGAATACAATTTACCAATTTTAGCAATTTCCATTAATTTCATATCAAGATCATCTTTCATAAGATATTGGTCAACAACTTTGTAAATCGATTTACGTCCATTTTTAAAAGATTTTTTTAAATGCTTATATATTGGTTTCTTGAATAGAACAATTAATCTCTTTAAGAAACCATTTTGATTACCATACCGCGACTGCATTTCTTTTCCTCTTCCTCCTCCTCCTCCTCATCATCATCATCATCCTCTTCTTTGTCACTTTTTTTTTCTTTGCCTTCTGTCTCCTTGTTCTCATCTTTTTCGCTCATTTCTACAGACTTTGTACTACCATTTTTCTTATCATCAGCCCTGGAAAAATTTGAAAAATGCAGGTTTCGGTACTTATATTTAGTTAAAGCTTACTGAATGATTTATTTGTTTCATTACTGAATCATATGATTAATAAATTTCTACAGAATAGTTTCACGGGAACATGAAAATGTTTTCCTCAGATTATGAGTGGAATAAGATATGGTGTTGAGTATTCTTCCAATGACAAATCACCTGTTATTTATTGGAAAACTTACTCAAGTTTCATGAATATATTATAAGTATTCAAGTAATGTAATGCACTTAGTACAACAGGACTGATGAATTATGGTATCAAAATATATGACGGATTATCTCATTGCATTGTATGATTAAAAAATAAACATATCCCTTGACTACTAACTTTTTGATGGAGTGATAGTGAATACAACCATCTAGACAATAAGAAATATCTACCAAAACTAGGAGATTTGATAGTTTTTATTCAGTGAAAAGTTGAGTTTATGTATTTACATTTACATCTGATTCTCATTGGGCTTCAGACAAGCTATGAAGGTGTAGAATTGAAGTAGAATGTTGCAGTAGTGAAACGTTTTCAGTTCCAGATTGTTATCAATAATCCCATTTCTAGAAAATAGATTGTAATAACTAAACCTCTTATTGTCTTTTAGTAATGGATCATAGATTCTAAAATTCGGCTGATCTTCAAGATATAACTAAAATAGGAAAGTTCAGAAATTATTGATTTTGGATCTAGAAAAATAATAATCAAAGGTAGTTTATGTTGTTGCTTACGGTTTCCTGTCGTTGATTAAACCGAACTGATCTGTCCCTAGATGTCAGTGGAGACCGATCAGTTCAGTCTAGTTAATGACGGAAAACTACAAGTTATAATTTGTGTCCCAGTCTCAGTGGGAACGGCATCACTAACTAGGAAACAAGTACATCTAGTTGAGTAGTTTCAAATAGGATGGAACTCAAGTCGTGGGTTCCATCACTACTTGAAGGTAACCTTTTAGTGGTGGCTAGTAGTAGAATCCAAGGAGCATGTTTTGAATTACTTAGGATTCATCATCCGAGTTAACCTTCATCCTGATGAGAGATATTGTACTGATTAAGACTAGAATGCGTCACTAATAGCTTCTATGAGGCTACCGAATCACCCACATGACAAGTATTACAACAATACACAAAAGATAGTAGAAGGTAGTTTGGTTTCACACTGCAATACTGACTACCACTGGATTCGAATTAAGATAATGTATTGGGCATTGCAGTTCATCTTGGGGATAGTTAGCATTAAAATAAAATGAAAAAAGCCTTTTTCTTCTTTAATCAGGAAAAACTAACAGATTCTGATGGATTCAAATATTTGGTATTCCCCGGTTATTGACTCTTTAATAAAAAATCACATAGAAATGTCTATTACAAGAAAAAATTATCAATCAGCTAAGTCAGATGAACTATTTTAGGAGTTGTAATAAACACAATTTCTTTATTCAATGAGATTTTAATACAACTAAGGAACTTAGGACTATTTAGAAATGATAGACTTAGCATTTCAAGATAATGTACAACTTAATTCATTGTAGATAGTCATTTATTTACTTTAGTATTTTAACTATGATGGAAATTTATCTACCATTGAAGTTCACCAATTGTATCTTATCTTACTGAAGTAACCATTTCATTATAGATGTTTCTGAGGTTTTCTAATACTGAATAGTGTACCTATCTCATTTATTATAGGCTGAAAAAACGATAAACACATAAGCATTTGAAAAAGATATTACTTTGTTTGGTAGTCCATAGTAACAAGTTACAGAACAGATTTTAGAATGACTGAAAGAAATTTTATTCAACTCAATTTACTAGATGCTATAGTCTACATGAATAGATATCCTATTTTTGCAGATAAATAAAATCTTCGAATATAATTACATGAAGATATTCAACTCACTCGATTTGTGTTCCAAGGATAAGGATACATAATGCTAAGAATAGTAAGGTAGACAGTTTCATCTTATTGTAGAATATGGAAATTATAAATATAAAGTTAATGAGCCTTCATATTCTTATATTATATAGTGATAAGTGTATACTTTATTATGCATATAAATGTTTGTTTCAATTATACTAAATTTTTGTATGTTGCCATAAGCACATGTCCACAAATTCAATAGATTCAGTTTGTTGACTTATAATTAGTTTATTCTTGGTATAATTTAAGATTGTTATCAATAAAATAATAGATTTGATGCCTTCCTTTTTATTTTACTGTGTTTATATTTTACAATAAGATTCATGTTCACTTAAACTGCCTATTTAATTCTTATGCCTATAATACCTTCTTCAGTGTATTTTAATTAGCCTAGATTGAATACAAGAATAAATATACTTCATTGTAATTAAATGAATAAGTATACTGTTGTTTCAGGTCAATATGTGCCCAACAAAACACTTCTGATTCGAATCATATATCCAAAATATGAATATTATAATAGAAACATTTTCAAAAGAGTATAGTTTTACGCTATTTATATACACTGAATTATAAAGTTAACCAAAGGGAACTTCTACTCAAGATGTGAATGCTCAGTACAATATAAATAATACAGTCAAATAATTACACTACGATTTGAAAAGAAAATGTTCCTTTTTATATACCATGATCTGAAAAGAAAATTCACTAACAAGGTGAATGGGAATATTTGGCTTTTTGAAAAGTTTGTTTCAATAAGACAATGAAATCAATATGAGCAAACTATCGATGATGATGCCCAACCAACACCACCACCAACAACAACAAGCTCCAATCACCATCAACAGGAGAAACCTATAGGAAGTAGCCTCTTTCACCTACACATACCTATGCAGCATCGTTCCAACTACAGGCGGCGTGGATGAGAATGTCAAAATCAATATTGGAAAGGCAGCAAGATAGGTCTTCCTGCATTAATCTGAAATAATCAGTGTGGAGATCTACTGCACTCAGCATAAAGCGTGAACAACATCCATATTTTCAACACTAATATCAGTCAAGCAAGTCAGTGCTTCTATGTGATGGTTGAGAGACTTTGCGCGTTACGAAAATCATTTCCAACAAGCTACAGACATTAATCAACAACTGCTTATGTTGGCTCGTTACTGAAGCTCAGATGGCCAAAATACTAAGAAAAAGTAACAAGGACTCTGGCTGGCTGGCAACAAACCAGCCAAGAACCTATCGCTCATCAGATATGCAGAAGGAAGTGAAGATGAATCGGGCATACACTGAGAAGACCATTCGGGGACATCACGCGTCAGGCCAGGCCTTCAAGTGGAACCCCGATGGGAAATAACGAGTTGGGTGTCCGAGGCGATGGTGACATGGATGAGATTGTGTGAGGAAGAAATGAGAGTTTGTAGGCAGTTGTGGAGCCAGGTTGAAAAGACTGAAGGAACAGAGTGGAATGGAGATGTGATACTGAAAGTGTATGTTCCACTGGGAACCCAAGGGACAAATAAGAAAATAATCATAATAATCTAACACATCGAAGCATATTTTTCCAACCATTCATTTAGCGAAATAACTTATTTCATCTGTTCTTCGACCATTTAATTGAAACAATATGCTTGGGATCAGACGTATTTGTTGAAATGAAAGCTTTAGTAACCAAAGATCTACGCCTTTTGTTTATTTACTAAGATGTTGTGATAAAATTTCGAAGTTTGCACTGAACATAATTTTTTATCTCCTTGGATTTGCTTGCATCAACTGGATTGGTTTTGTTTGGTAATCACTCACCTTTCTAAAAATCGATAATTATTTACTATTATTAGTTATCCCTTCTGTTCCTAGTCGAACATTGGGCCCTAGTAACACATCGCCATTGCACTCTGTTCTCTGCAGTCTTTTGAACCTGGCTCCACCACTGCCCATGAGCTTTCATTTCTTCCTCACATGTTCCCCTCTATGTCACCCTCGCTGGGACGCCCAACTCGTCGTTTCCCATTTGAGTTCCACACAACGGCTTGGTCTGGCCCGATGCATGATGTCCTTGAATTGTCTTCTCAGTATCTGTCCAATCCAATCCATCTTCGCCCTCTTCTCCATATTTGTTGGGCAATAGGTTCTTAGTTGGCTGGTTTTTTACCAGCTACAGTTCCTTTTTGCATATTCTTTCTCGCCACCAAATCTCCATCTTCAGCGCCAGTATCGAGTGAGCGTAGGTTGTAGCTGTTGATGATTAATGTCTGTAGCTTGTTGGAAATGATTTTCGTAACGCGCAAAGTCTCTCAACCATCACATAGAAGCACTGACTTGCTTGACTGATATTAGTGTTGAAAATATGGATGTTGTTCACGCTTTATGCTGAGTGCAGTAGATCTCCACACTGATTATTTCAGATTAATGCAGGAAGACCTATCTTGCTGCCTTTCCAATATTGATTTTGACATTCTCATCCACGCCGCCTGTAGTTGGAACGATGCTGCATAGGTATGTGTAGGTGAAAGAGGCTACTTCCTATAGGTTTCTCCTGTTGATGGTGATTGGAGCTTGTTGTTGTTGGTGGTGGTGTTGGTTGGGTATCTTCATCACCTCTGTCTTCCTATGTTTACCTGAAGTCCTGTCTTCACTGTCTGCCTCTTCCGTCAACTTGTTGGTTTTTGCCTGTAGGTCTTCGAGCTTGTGTGACATTAGACATCATCGTCGAAATCCAAATCTTCTTCTGAAGTCTCTTCGTCCGTCCACCCAGCATATGCCCATCTACTCACAGCTCCTTACGGCTTACTGCATGATCCAGTCGGCCGAAATCGGGAAGACCATTGGTGATTGTATGCAGCCTAGTCTTACCCTTGTCCTAACTTCAAAGATGTCACTGAGCTTTCCACTGTGAAGTTAATCACTTGGCATGTGGCGTCTTCATATAGTTGTTGAATGAGGTTGATAAATGTTTGTAGCATTCCGTAGTGTTCGAGCAGTTGCCAAATTACTTGTTGGTCGACGCTGTCGAAGGCCTTTTCAAAATCGATGAAGCTGACGTAGAAAGTGGACTGCCATTCTGTGCTCTGTTCTGTGATGATGCGAAGCGTTGAAATTTGGTGCGCACATGATTTGTTCTTCCTGAAACCAGACAGCCTGTTCCGGTTGTTGTTTTGAATCCAGAGCATCTTTTTGTCTCTCCAGGATGATGTGGCTTGATATTTTGCTTGCTTTGAGTGGACAGCAGCATGATTCCGCGCCAGTTCTTGCAAAGACTTAGGTCGCACACCCATTTTTGGGATTTTGTCAAGGTAGCCCTTCTTCCAATCATCTGGCATGTGGTTTTTCTTCTTTCATACCAAATCTTTTGTAGGAGTGGTGTGAGCATATCCGCTGTTGTCTCTGTGTCTGTTCCCAGTGCTTCCGGTTGGATTCCATCTGGTCCTGCTGCTTTCCTAGATTTCAGCAATTTATAGCTTTCAGGGATTCTGCTTTGTTGGAGGGCTTGTGTTAACTAGTAGTTCTGTTGTTGCGCTGCTGGTGGTACTTCTTGAGGAGTTGCACGTGATGGTGACGGTCGGTTCAAGAGTTTTCTGAAGTGGCCAGCCCATCGTTTTGTTTCGTTTGTTTCTCCTCTTTGGTAGCAACTAAGTTTCATTCACTATCTTTCATTGGTTTCATCTGAGTTGATCTCTCCACTACCAGATAAGTAACCTGGTTATTTGATATAATGTTGTCAGGTCTCTGTGTGTCTGTCCTACCTGCAGCCTGTTCTGCTTCACTTGCCAGTGTTTCGTAGAAGTGTCTTTTGTCTTGGCGTGCACTCTTCTTCACTTCTTTGTCCAGTGTCATTATTATTATTAGTCCCTTGGGTTCCCAATGGAATATAGGGCTTCAGTAGCACGTCTCCAGTGAACTCTGTTCTCTGTAATCTTTTGAACCTGGCTCCACAACAGCCCACAACCTCTCATTTCCTCCTCTCACGATCTCCTCCATGTCACCCTCACCTCAGACACCCATTTCGTCGCTACCCATAGGCATTCCACTCGAGCGACTGACCTGATTAGTGATGTCCTCAGTCGGCCTTCTCAGTGCATGCCCAATCCATCTCCACTTCATTCCACTGCATATTTGTTGAACGATGGGTTCTTGGTTGGTTCGTTCCCAGAGCTCCTTGTTGCTTATTCTTGTTATCCTGGCCATCTGATCTTCAGTAGAGAGCCCGTGTAGGCAGTTGTTGATGAATATCTGTAGTTTGTTGGAAATTTCTTTCGTAACACGCCAAGTCTCTCAACCATACAGAAGCACTGACTTGACTGAATTGGTGTTGAAAATCCGGATCTTGTTCCACATGCTGAGTGCAGAAGATCTCGACACTGGTTTCAGGTTAATGAACGCCTGTCTTGCTTTTCCGATTCTGAATTTGACGTCCTCGTCTGTGAAGCCACCTGTAGTTGAGACAGTGCCTCCTAGATAGTGAAGGAGGCTACTTCCTTTAAGTTTCTCCCGTTGAAGGTGACTGGAGTTTGTTGTTGTTGTTGGAGTTGTTGGTGCAATAACTTCATCACTTCTGTCTTCTCTATGTTCACTTGAAGGTCCGTCTTCGCTGCCTCTTCAGTCAACTTGTTAGTTTTTGCCTGTAGATCTTCAAGTTCGTGTGACAGGCACAAGTCATCGGCGAAACCCAAATCTTCTAGGTTCTTTTCCGCAGTCCAGCTTGTTCAGTGTAGCGTTTTATAAATTGTGCTCGGTTCCTCCTTTTGCTGCTTATTCCTGCACTGGACTGGTTCATCTTCTGCTTCACCATTCTCCTATCCCTCCTCTATCAGCTTCCATGTGTCCGTCGAAATCCATTCCTTATCTTCTCTTTCCTCCCTTCCTAATACATTTAGGTATGTTTTCCCCCACCTCGCTTTCAAGCACTTCCAGTATTCATTCACACAGGTTTCTTCAGGGATGTTCCTCAATATCTCCCATTTCGTCTTCATGACTGACATGAAGATTTCCTTTCTAGTCTCATCCTTCATTTCAATTTCTGTGCTGGGTGTTGAACTTCAACTGTGGTCTATCACCAACTTCCTTCAAGGTTTTTTTTACCTAATTTTGAAAGTTCTTTCCACTACATAGTGAGTGGTGTGA